GCATCTATTGCACGTCTGTCCGTCCTGGGAGAGGGATCCCTCCTCTGTTGCTCTCCCTGAGGTTTCTCCCATTTTTCCCTTTAAACAGTGGGTTTTCTTCGGAAGTTTTTCCTTGTACGATGTGAGGGTCTAAGGACAGAGATGTGTCGTATTGTCATACTGATATTTTGTACAAACTGTAAAGTCCACTGAGACAAATGTAACATTTGTGATATTGGGCTATATAAATAAACATTGATTGATTGATTGATTGATTGATTGATTGACATGGTGGCGACCGCCGCGGAGATTGAGCCCCGCGCTGTGTCAGGCTGGGGCTCAACAACGGCGGTAGCCGCGGAATCGGAGCCCCGCGCCGTGTCAGGCTGAGGCCCGGTGGCGGCAAGAGCCGCGAGAGCGGAGCCCCGCGCTGTGCCAAGCTGGGGCTCCCAACTGGACCTCACCATTCCTCATTCCCAAACGGGGAGGGAACGGGATTCGGCCTATACTAGATTTGAGGGCTCTGAACAAATATCTCAAAAGATACAAATTCAGAATGCTCACTCACACATCTCTGTTGCGTCTCGTGCGCCAAAACGATTGGTACACATCAGTCGACCTGAAAGACGCGTATTTCCACATCCCAGTATATTATCCACACAGGAAATATCTGAGGTTTGCCTTTCAGGGTGTCTGTTATGAGTACAGAGTACTTCCCTTCGGTCTGTCTCTCAGCCCACGAGTGTTTGTACGGTGTACGGAAGCCCCGTTAAGACAACAGGGTATTCGCCTGGCAACTTATCTGGACGATTGGCTCCTTCTCGCACAGTCGGAGCAAGAGGCTATTACGCAGACGAATGTCCTCGTAAAACACCTGCTCGACCTGGGTTTCGTAATAAACACAGAAAAGAGCATGTTGTCCCCAGCCCAGACTGTACTCTTCCTGGGCCTACGCCTGAATTCGGTGCCCTTTACAGCCCGCCTGTCAGCAGAGAGAGTGAAAGCCTTCAGGGCTTGCCTCGCTCATTTCCAGCCACGCAAAATCGCGGAAGGTGGTCACCACAGACGCATGTCTGACGGGCTGGGGGGGTATATACGAAGGTCGACCTGTGAGGGGTCTCTGGAGCAGAGACTTCCAACGGTCACACTTAAACTATCTGGAGCTTTTAGCGACATCATGTCCTCGTGAGGACAGACAACACGACCACAATATCGTATATAAACCGCCAAGGGGGTTTGCGTTCTCTCCAGTTACACATGCTGGCACGCAAACTGATCTTATGGAGCTGCGGACGTCTCCTCTCTCTGAGAGCGACGCACGTACCAGGAGTGATGAACCTCGGGGCAGATCTGCTGTCCAGAGGTGCACCACTATATGCAGACTGGACTCTACATCCAATAATTGTGAGTCAGCTGTGGGTGTGTTACGGCCGGGCCGCGGTGGATCTGTTCGCATCAAAAGAAAACGCTCAATGTCAGCTGTTCTTTTCAATGCGCGATTTAAACGCACCGTTAGGCGTGGACGCGCTCGCGCACGCTTGGCCTCCGGTCCTTCTGTACGCGTTCCCACCCCTGGCTCTGATACCCCCAACTCTGGCCAGAGTGAGAGAACAACGCCACACACTGATCCTAATAGCTCCACACTGGCCTGCAATGTACTGGCTAGCGGAGATATATCACCTGCTGTGCGGGCAGCCGTGGCAGCTCCCGCTACGCAGGGACATACTGTCTCAGGATTTTTCACCCACACCCAGAGCGCTTGGCACTATGGGCCTGGCCCGTGAGTGTTATAACCTGAATACAGTGGGACTCCCTCAGAAGGTGATAAACACTATTCAGAGTGCAAGAGCTTCCTCCACCAGGTCCCTCTATGACTGTGTGTGGAGGGTGTTTGAGGAGTGGTGCCTTCAAAAAGGATACATCTCTTTTCAATGTCCTGTCGGGGTGATTCTATAATTTCTACAGGACCTGATTGATAAACACAGAGCTTTCTCTACGATCAAAGTGTACCTGGCTGCTATTGCTGCATGCCATGTGGGCTTTGAGGGAAAGACGGCTAGCCAACATCCCTTGGTCTGCCGTTTTATGAAAGGGGCTCGCAGGCTCCTCCCTGTTTCCAGGTCACTGGTGCCCTTATGGGACTTGGCAGTGGTTTTAGATGGGCTCACTCGACCTCCATTTGAACCCCTGGAAGAAGCTGACATGAAACACCTGTCACTGAAGACAGTGTTGTTACTGGCTCTGGCATCTGCCAAGCGAGTCATTGACATTCATGCGCTCTCTGTACATCCTTCATGCACTCAGTTTGCCCCGGGGCAAACAAGAGTGTTGCTGAAGCCCAACCCTGCCTTTGTACCTAAGGTGGTTGGCTCAATGTACCCCCATTAACATTGAGGCATTTCCTCCGCCACTGTGTTCCTCTGAGGAACAGCGGCCGAATTTGCTGTGCCCAGTCCGTGCTTTACGCATCTATATGGACAGGTCAAGAGAGTTTCGATGCAATGACCAACTCTTTGTATCCTGGGCTAACCCTCATAAGGGCAAGCCCGTTACCAGGCAACGGCTCTCTCCCACTGGATTGTGGAAGCGATTGCTCTGGCTTATACGAGTCAGGGTTTGCAGGCACCAACGGGCCTGCGTGCTCATTCTACTCGTGGACTGGCTACATCCTGGGCTTTGTTCAAGGGTGTTTCCATCCAAGACATTTGTGCAGCAGCAAGCTGGTCCTCACCGCTCACTTTTGTCCGCTTTTACAGGCTAGATGTCTCTGCTCCAAGTGTGGCCCGCGCAGTGCTGGGCCCCGTGTTGAGACAGGGTTCTACCTGTTAAGTTCTGGTTGTTTTGGTGATTTTCGAGATAAGCATGTCTAGCAATACGGGAGTTTCAATATGCCATAGTTAGACATCGAACGGAGTGGTATGAATGAGAACTATAGGTTACTTACGTAACCCCAGTTCTCAGAGTAACATGAAGTGAGATGTCTCACCAGACGGCCTTTCTTGCTAAGACGAAGCGAGAAGAGGTGCTTATTTTGAATAAGGAGAGAAGGGTCCATCCTCGTTTGCCGGGGTGTCGGCGCGGAGGGACAAGCTAGTAACAGGTATGTTACCGAAAAAAATCCAACCTTATCGTTATTCCGAAAGGAAAAAACGACGGGGTAGATTTTTCTTTAAAAAAAAATATTAACTGGTGTGTTAATATCTTTCTTATCTCCGTCTCCTCTGGTGTGAGGGAGAGAAGAGTCCATCCCCGCTCGCCGTGGTGTCGGCGCGGAGGGATAAACTAGCAACAGGTATGTTACTGTTTGAAGAAAAAATCAAACCTTACCGTTATTTCGAAAGAAAAAACGGCGGGGCAGATTACAATATTAACTGGTGTGTTAATATTTGTTCAATTCTTCTGCAAAGCAAAAAAGTAACCGGCAAGCGCCCGTCGACCGAATGTTAGCTTGGGTTCAGTCTGTGGACCGTTAAGCTAGCCCGGCTACTGATATTCGAGATGTGCTCTGAAGCGAGAAGAGGTGTTTGAATGACGCTGCGACGTAGCGCAAGCTACTTAAAGGGTGGGTGGATTCCCTGACGTAGACGTCAAGATCACCAGCCAATCAGGATTGGCGTAATGAGATTGATGCTTCTGTTTGCATACGCGTTGAGGCGCATCCCATAGTGAGACATCGAACGGAGTGTTATGAATGAGAACTGGGGTTAGTAACCTATAGTTTTATAGTGAACAAAAAAAAAAGTTCTTCCGAAAACATAAGCATGTACTGTAGCACTACCCGATGCTAACGAAGTTTAGAAATCTGTGAGGATGAGCAGTGGGAGGCTCAAAGAAAGAGTTAACATTATACTTAACATCTAACATTTCTCAAAACAAGCATTGGTGTCAGAATCAACAACTTGTCTGAAGAGCTGCAACTAAGTTCTATGAAGTGCTGTTTGCCTCGGGCTACTGCTCGCAGGATCTATATGAGCGGGATATATATGAGCAGGATGTGTGTATGGTTGAACAGTAACAGTTGTTGGCTCTGCATTGGCATCTTAAAGGTTACAGCAGCAATACATCCAAAGATACTCTCAGTTGTTTGCGCATGGTTTCAAAAACGTTTTGTAAGCATTTCCTTTATTTATTCTAAATTGTTATATTTGTTTGTGTTAATGCTGTTGTATAATGCAAAAACAAATTGGTAACATCATTCAAATGTATGTAACGGTAGCATATTAGCCCGGGCATTGTTGAATCTGGTTTTTCTAATATGTTGTTGTTTGTTGCGTCAACATTTTCTAGCACCTGCTATAAACAGTCCAGCCTCCTGTAGCTTTCTGAGATGTGTGCTATCACTGGTCAGCAGGTGCATAACATTATGGGTAATGCTGTTGTCTGGGAGTTTAAATAAATGATTTAATGTGAAATTCAATGTTTAATGCTAACTAGCTACCTAGCGTTGGTTGCATGGTTTCGGTGTCACTGTCAGCTTGTGTAGTTTCTAGGGCAATAATGACAATGCTCTGTTTTGACCCATTGAGCCTTTATACATCTTGAACATTATTAATAGTGGTCCAACCATCTGACCAATCAGTGGTGGATTCCCAACTTTGGTTAAGACCACTTTTTTAATAATTGTGTAATTAATAAATAATTCCATGTTTTTCTCAGTTTTTTATTATTTAAGGTTTATATGTGGGTTTTTACCTGAGACATACTAAGAGACATAACCTTGGACTTGAAGAAACTGGGCATTTTTCAGCACTAAAACTAATGACAATCTCATCAGCTTTAGCTGTAGGCTACTCCTTGTTTACGGCTAACTAGCAAGTAGTAGTATGCTACAAGCTAAACCAAGATGGTGAACCTGGAAGATTAATGTGTTAGCAGTTTTTAGCTAAAAAAGGATAGAATAGCACATCTAATAGTACAGCATTGGACTTTTTACGTCATTTACAGCTCATCTCTAGCAAAAACACTGTCCTAGCCTTACGAATAAAAAGTACCAAGCAGTTGCAGCAGTGGCTGTAGCTTACCGTGTGTATGTTGTAGCCCTCGTAGAAATGGAATCTCCCCTGCATGCAGACACACTCACGGCCCTGCAGCTTCCCAAACACCAGCTGACCAGCATGGCCTGACACTGCAAACAACATACAGTATGAGAATATGCTAGCATGCGTATGTTCTATTTCTCAACACTAGTAATATGTTATATAGAAAAGACAGTTTTTCAACTTACCAGTGCTGGTGGGAAAATGTGGAATATCTTTATATTGGAACACATTCCTGTCACCGAGCAGCTCTCCCAGGCCCCCCAGGCCCGACCCACAGATGATGGCTACTTTAGGACGCTGCTCTGTGTGGGCCAGCAGCCAGTCTGCTGTCTCCTTATACTCTTCATAACTGTAAGTGCTGGAAAGAATATTGACAAATGTAACTTAAACACAGCTGTGACAAAGATAGGTCAGTCACTTAAATCACTATGATAAATATTTTCATGACCGTTGTCATCACTATCACCGGGAAAATAAAACCACAAATACTATCAGTCTCATATTTAGAATTTGTCATTTTATAACATAATGAAATTATAGTTAATTTAAGGGAAACATACAGCAAGTGTTGATTACATGTCTTTGTGTGTACAAAGCAGCATGGGGAAGTAATTAATGCATGCATTACAAGGTTTTCTATTTTTTTGAGAAATAAACTCTCTGAAACTCAGGCCGATCTATTTTTCATTGTCATGGTATAATAATCTTTAACAACTATGTTAAATAATAGTTAAAATATCTGCTAGATGGGGTGCACTCTGAAATGCGAGAGTACAAGCACATGGAAAGGAACATTAACTAAAGATAAGAATAAATACAACATTGTGCAACACACACTTATGGGTTTTTACTTTGCCATTTTATGTGTATCAGCCAAATAAGTATGCAGGGATGCAGATTACCTTTCGAAATGCCTTGAGGTAACACATTATGGTCTGAAAACAGTCTGTAATTCTAGTTATAAATCTGGTTGTAGAGCTATAACCTTAATGTTCCTTCAATGCCTCAAGCTTTGTTATTAAAACACAATGACACTTCAGGCTGCAGCCTTTACCAGACCAATCTGCAGCAGGAGCCCATTTTAAAGCAGGAGCCATTTTAAAGCTGCCATCTAAGATGACAGCTACATCAGACTAGCCTTGAGGGTTCAATCTTCCCACATTTCCCCAAGTATTTATTTTTAATTGAATTCCAACTCCAAAAGGAGAAGCAAAATCGTTCATTACTGTAGTTATGTTGGTACACACTGTCTTTGAGACTACCAGGGACCGGGTAAAGTCTGGTCCCTGGTAGTCCCAAAGTCAGTGTAAACAGCACAAAGTTAAAAGCAAAAAGTTAACAGGTAACACCAAAAAGCTAACAGTTAAAAGGTTGCAGCTAAAAGCTGAAAGCCAACAGCTAATTAGCCTCCCAAACACCAGCTGAATGACATGGCCTGGCCCGGATATCTATTTAATATTCCTGTGAAAATATCTACTTATATACTACTATATTCTACCCAACATCGGTATTGAATCCAGTTCAAAGTATCAAAGATTTGAATACATCATGATAACGGTATAACATACCTTCAAATGTACTGAATAAAGTTTCGACTCAGCATCATTTTATCAATGGCACCTCTGTTTAATGCCCACTGGCTGCTAACAGCTAACAACTAATAGCTAACAGCTAACAGCTAATGTTAACTAGCTCTCTTAATGCTGATTCAACGATTTGCCTTGGTCGGGGGTCATCTGTATCCTATGATACCCCCCATCACGGAGGGGTGATCAATATATTCTAAAGCACAGACATATGTGACACAAGTGTTGCCTTGGTTGCCATTACCAGCCTGTTAGTTGCAGAGTTGCACTTAACATGATTGTGCAGGTGGGACTGGCAGCATTAACACACACAGCTTGCAGACATGCCTGTGTCTTCTTCTGTTTTTTTATTCATAATCAGATTCACTGTTGGTGCCCGTTTAAAGGTTTTTTTTAATGCATGAGATCCGTTTAGGTCAGAGTAACTGAACAACAGCCTTTTGTAATCAGTGATTCATAAACCCAAGAAACCAAAATGTGGAGCAGAGTCGACTATAGGCCTATAGCCATAAAAAAAGCTCTTATCAAACTGAATGTCATGTCTGTGATTTTGCTGTCATGTTTTATATCAGCATCACTGAACTGTCAACCCAGTCTCACGGCATTTCGTGTTCACCAACACGATTTTTAATCTATTAATTCGTGTTCACCAACACGATTTGCCCCTTTTTTTCGTGTTGCACAGCACGATTTTAAAAGCAATGTATTTCTACTGCCTGCAACACGTCTTTTTCTCCGGTCGGGTTGAGGAAGACCGGAAGATGTGTGGTTCATAAAAACATGTTCTTACTCAATATCAAGCCACAGTTATTGCTTTTATTTGAAATCGTATAATTTTGGACTTTTGTTGCCGTCTGTGAGGAAAATAAATGGGGCTCAGAGCCTCAGGATACTGAAATCTGTATTTTTTAAATCTTTTTTTCCTTCTAATTTGTTATTCTTTTCAAAATAACATACTGTTATTTACTCACCAATAACACACAATTATCCTTGCTTTTATTTATTGGTTTCATTCCATAATCTCGGGCTTTTTTGGCGTCCGTCAGGAACTGAATTTCAAAATAAAAATAACCGGAAACAGACGTAGGCATTTCGAGCGATTACCCAAGATCCTCAGCTATGGTTTTAAGATCGCTTATTGGATGTTTTAGCCGCAATGCATGCTGGGATTTGGTGATTATATGATATGAAATCTGGAAAACATTTTAAAAGAATAAAATAATACTTAATTCCGAGCGCTCTTGCTTTTCTCTTTGAAAGTCATCACATAACGGCATTGTAATACACGGTTCGGCTGCATTGTATATTACAGATCTGCCGTAGTTCTTTATTTATAGAGCCCTGATGAGAAGACCTTTGAAAAAACTGAGAAAATGCCGCCGAAACTGAATACTTGACGTGGATCATAAATATATTCAACAATTAAACAACATCTTCAATTTCTCTTCACACAATACGTCTCCTTGCAGTATCAACACTAATTCGGCTGACTTTTACATTTGATCTAATTCACAGATAACTGTGCACAGCTGATATAAAAGGACTGTAGTTTTTTAAAGATATTACTGATTTTCTTTGAATGTAAGAATGTAAATACTGAGTCTGAAATAGTATAGCAATATGCTGTAAAATTATGTGAAAGCATGCATAAAACTACACATCTTCAGATGTTGTACGAAAACATAAGTGTCTATACACTAATAATACAAAGTTATTATGGCTGTGTGTACCTTGTGTGCACCTCCTAGTGGTTAAAGCACGTTATTGAATTATTGTGTTTTATTTGATTAAAAAAATATTAAGAGTACATACTTTCATAGGAGGAAAGTATAAATATAGAATATAAAAAATCAAGAAGATACTATAAGTGATCTCTACAATAAAACAGTTTAGTGCAGAATGTACAAAGATATTAATAGGAGGAGGTGCAAAACAGAAAAACGAATTAACCTTTATTTAAACATTAAATAACAGATTAAGGTCTTCTTTTAAATAAGAAAAAAACTTTGGGGGTATCTATCTACAGATAAATATTAAGCCTGACAAAGTACTTAACGTCTAATATATTGCTTTCCTGCAATGTTAACTATGTTGAAGCACTTATTTTAACTGATATTATACATATGAATTATACTCTTATGTATGTAGATAGAATAAGAAATGTGCAGAATATGACAGTTTAATGGTGGATGTACACACATATTGATAGATGTCTTGTAATGCACTGTTGAGGAACCTGTGACCCAAGTGTTTCATTCATTGCATAACTACACCGTAGTTGTGTATGATATGTCAATAAACCTTTGGAAATCTTGAAAGGGATGTGCAAAATAGCCATAATATACAGTCTTTAATGAACTATTAGTAGAGAATAACGAGTAATGAATATACTTTATTACTCGTTTCCATTCATGTCAATTGCAGATATATGTTTAGTCTTCTCAAGCACCAACTATCAAATATCTCTCCTGATTGTTGGCACTTGACAATCACCTTACCTGAATTTTACTCAGGTGTAACTAAAGTCTGATTTAAGGGTTGTTTATATTTCACATAATTAATCAGAATCTGCAAAGTAACTCAAATAAATGCAGTGGAGTAAAAAATACCAGGTTAACCTCTGAATTGTAGTGGAGTAGAATTACAAAGTAACAATGAGCTGTCATGTGGGTATTAATGCTGCGCATTATGGACACAAGCGATTTTCACCCATTTATTAATTATATGTTTTACATTTGATAACACCAATGTGTTTAATACTGGCAACTTCTAATTGTGGGAAAAACGAAAAAGGTTCAGTAGAGACGTCCCATAGAATCAATCAATCAATCAATGTTTATTTATATAGCCCAATATCACAAATGTTACATTTGTCTCAGTGGACTTTACAGTTTGTACAAAATATCAGTATGACAATACGACACCCTCTGTCCTTAGACCCTCACATCGTACAAGGAAAAACTTCCAAAGAAAACCCACAGTTTAAAGGGAAAAATGGGAGAAACCTCAGGGAGAGCAACAGAGGAGGGATCCCTCTCCCAGGACGGACAGACGTGCAATAGATGCCGTGTGTAAATTGAAAAGATAATACATTTGCAACATAGGTAGTCCAAATGTTTGGAAATGCATGTGTGTATAATAGGAAGATGAATCCACGAGGATATCCATCCAGGACCTATGATCCAGGACCACAGCCACGACTCAAGATCCAGGACAGAGGAGCGCAGGATCATCCATGACTCCGGATCCCGGCGTATACAGACAAAAAATAGAACATTTTGCGAAACACAATAGCCAGCATGTGTAGTTCTGGGGGGGCGTTCGATTCCAGTTTTGGATAGTCTGGCGTGGTTTCGTTCCATTTCACACAGCTGTTTGACGCTCTGGGTAACCTTACGGGGACTGTAGTCCTAAACGATAGCTGGGGATTATGGGTAGTGTAGTGTCTTCGGCCATCCTAAACTCAGAAATGTTGACAATCGCAATGATGCTCGAAATGTCCCTTATAGGCCTACGTCTGTTTCCGGTTATTTTTATTTTTAAATTCAGTTCCTGACGGACGCCAAAAAAGCCCGAGATTATGGAATTAAACCAATAAATAAAAGCAAGGATAATTGTGTGTTATTGGTGAGTAAATAAATAACAGTGTGTTATTTCGAAAAGAATAACGAATTAGAAGGAAAAAAATATTTAAAAATACAGATTTCCGTATTCTGAGGCTCTGAGCCCCATTTATTTTCCTCACAGACGGCAACAAACGTCCAAAATTATA